CAATCGATTAACTTAGGTCAATCACATCATCTGGAGGGAGATTAATGATAACACTGTTAAGTAGCTAAAATGATATAGAAGAACAATGTATCTGAGTGATTGAGCATGTGTGTCTGATGTATAAGTTACAAATCCAAATAGTAGGTCTAGTATAACACTTGTATAGTATAGTAAGTGTATAAACACAGACCAATATATCAAAATAACTCTTTGATTTATAATTGGAAATATCACTCAAAAACCAATTGGTTTACACTGTGTTTGTGTTGTACTGCATATTCATAGCTCGATATATGCTGTATATATATATAAGCTTATAATATTAAACTACAAAAAGAAACCCAACATCTTGATGGTATTCCTTTTGCTTTTCCTGGAATTATGGTGAGTGGGAGATAATGGAGGGAATTGAGATTCCAACAATCACCCCCCGAATCTCTAAGTCCTTCTAGAGATTCCCGATCACCACCAATCTTTAAGTCCTTCTAAAGATGTCTTCAATCCCGATCAAGTCCCGCATTGTCTTGAACTTGGTTCGAGCCAATGGTTTTGTGAGAATGTCTGCCTTTTGTTCTTCACCTGGAATGTACTTCACCTCCACTTGTTCCTTTTCAACACACTTACGAATGAAGTGAAACCTCGTGTGAATGTGTTTGCTTCTTCCGTGAAAAACATGATTCTTCGTGAGTTCGATAGCTGACTTGTTATCAACTCTTAGGACCACCTTCTCTTGTGCTTTGTTCATGATTTCGCCTAGCAAATCTTGAAGCCATATTGCTTGACATGTAAGCAACAATATCTTGCTTTTGAGAACACCATGTTATTGGACTCTTAGGACCACCTTCTCTTGTGTTTTGTTCATGATTTCGCCTAGCAAATCTTGAAGCCATATTGCTTGACATGCAGCCGCAGTTGCAGCCATGAACTCCGCCTCGCAAGATGATAAAGCAACAGTATCTTGCTTTTGAGAACACCATGTTATTGGAGACAACCCATAGTAGAAAATGTGACCGGGTTGTGCTTCTTCCGTCGTCCGGGTCGACATTGTGACTACTATCGCTGTAACCAATGATCCGGTTTTGCCCCATCCTCTCGTACTTGATTCCATGTGACGTTGTTCCACGTAAGTACCTTAGGATGTGTTTGATTGCAACACCATGTGATTCTCTTGGATTTTGCATGTATCGACTAACAACTCCAACCGCATATGCCATATCGGGTCTTGTCTGCAAGAGATATCTAAGGCATCCTACCAACTTTCGGTATTGTGTCGGGTCGATTTCGGGTTCATCTTCGGCCTTCGACATTTTGGTTCCTGGATCCATGGGAATGTGGGTCGGATTGCAATCGTGTAAACCGGCTTCTTTTAGAATGCGTCTAGCATACGCTTCTTGGTTTATAGTAATCCCTGATTCTTCTTGTTTGACTTCAATGCCCAGGTAGTAAGTTAATCTTCCAAGATCAGACATCTCGAAGTTCTTGGATATTTCAAATTTGAACCTTTTGATCATGCTCAAATTTGTACCTGTGACAAACAAATCATCAACATAGATTGCTAAAATTAGCAAGTTGGATCCTTCGTTCTTCCGGTACACCGATGGTTCTTTCATGCACTTATGAAATTTCATTCCTTTCAAAATCCCATCAAGTTTTGTATTCCATGCTCTCGGTGCTTGTCTAAGACCATATAGTGCTTTTGAAAGACGGTACACCTTGTGCTCGTCGCCTTTCCTTATGTAGCCTTCCGGTTGATACACATAGACGGTTTCTTTCAACTCTCCATGTAAGAAAGCCGTCTTGACATCCAAGTGGTGAAGCTCCCATCCATTGGTAGCGGCTAAGGCAATGAGAAACCGTATGGTTTCGATGCGAGCTACCGGAGCAAATACTTCTTGAAAGTCAATACCAGGTTGTTGTACGTACCCTTTAGCAACCAACCTCGCCTTGTGTTTGTTTATGGTGCCATCTGCATTTTTCTTCAGCTTGAACACCCATTTGAGTCCAATGGGCTTCACCCCCATAGGTTTGTTTACGAGAGACCAAGTATTGTTCTTGTTGATTGAATTGATCTCTGTATTCATGGCTTTGACCCATTCTGGTTCTTTCTTCGCCTCTTCAACCGATACCGGCTCGTCATTGGTTGCTAGGAGAAGTTCTTCAATTTCATCAACATAAAGTACATAATCTCGTAATCGAATTGGAAGCACCTTTTGTCTTGGGGGCCTTTGGTTTTGAACATTGTTCACGTTGTTGTTGATCGGACTTGGGTGCTCATTTTCTTGTACCTCCACTCCGTCTTCAATCTCGTGATCCGATTTGTTTGGTTCGTTGTTTACATCGTTTCCTTGGTTGTTGTTTGCCTCATCTTCCGGTAAGTCCCATGGTACTATGAATGATCCTGGTTCTTCATTGTCAGGTGTAGCTTCGTTAACCCAATTCCATCCTTTGGTTTCATTAAAAATAACGTCTCGACTTACGATTATTTTTTGTGTAACCGGGTTAAATAACCGATAGGCTTTTGTACCCGGTTCAGAACCAAGATGAACCAATGGTCTTGATCTTGCATCCAATTTTTTCACGTTTACCGGTTCAACTTTTGCATACGCTAAACACCCAAAGATGCGTACGTTCTCCAAATTAGGTTTTCTTTTATACAACTTCTCGTACGGAGTTGTATCACCAAGTACTCTTGTGTAAACACGGTTGATCAGGTTTGTGGAATGTTTTATCGCTTCTCCCCATAGATAGTTTGGAACATGCATCGCCTTCATGATACTTCGTGTCATGTCCATAAGTGTTCTGTTTCTTCGTTCCACAATACCGTTTTGTTGTGGTGAATATGGGGCGGTAAGATGGCGTTTAATTCCATTCATATCACAAAAGGAATTAAACTCGAGCGAAGTAAACTCACCTCCTCGATCACTTCGAAACACCTTTAAAGACTTTCCGAGCTCATTCTCCGCCAAAGCTTTAAATTTTTTGAAGTGTAAAAACGCCTCATTTTTCTCTTTTAAGAGAAAAATCCACATATACCGTGAGAAATCGTCAATTAGTGTGAAAATGTATCGATTTTGACCCTTCGTTGACGGTGTTATCGGACCACATAAATCACCGTGAACTAGCTCCAATGGCCGTGTTGCTTTGTACGTCGTCATTAATGGAAATGACTTTCTTGTTTGCTTGCCCACCAAACAAGATTCACACAATTGATTTTCACTGTCAAAGGGGGTTACCCTTTGACTAGACCTTTCTTGGACATCTTTTTCATTGACTCGAAATTGATGTGTCCAAGTCTTGCATGCCAGCGCCACGTGTCTTCACTCAGTCTTGTATGAAGGCAAATAGGTACTCCAATAGGCAACTGTATTTTATAAAGGCGATTTGGAGTTCTTTGTACCTTCATTAATAAGCAGTTGTCGGCATCATGCATCGTCAAATAGTTGTCTTTCATTCGAATATCACACCCGGCTTCTGTTGCTTGTCCGAGACTGAAAATATTATTTTTCAAATCTGGAATGAAATAAATCTCCGTTATCAATCGTTGTTGCCCCGATTTTCCTTGGAAAACAATTGAGCCTTTCCCTTTTATTTCGACACACGAATTATCACCGAATTTGACCTTTCCGGTTATTCCTTCGTCGAGTTCGGAGAAAAATGAACGATTTCCCGTCATGTGATTACTTGCCCCGTTGTCCAAATACCACACATCGTTTTCTTGTGAGTTGTATTGAGACGGTATCACCTTCTCTTCGTTCAAAAATACGGACTCGTGTAGAAATACTGTTTCATCGGCATCGTCGTGTTCAGTAAAATTACTTTCTTGGAATTTTTGGGTTCGGTCCGGACATTTGGATGCGTAATGGCCCGATTTATCGCATCTGTAACAAATAATTTTTGACAGATCTTTTTTCGGGTTACGGTTCGAGTCCGAATTAGAATTGGGCCGGTTATTGGGCTTATTATTGTTTTGGGCCGAATTGGGTCTATTTCCTTTTGGGCCTGACCCACTGGATCCTACTGACCCGGATCCACCACCCGACCCGCTTGACCCATTTCGATTAAAGCCTCCCGACTCGGTGCCATTAGAACCCTTCCCCCGTTTTCCCCAATTCGTCTTCCCCGACGATCCAGAACCTCCACCGCCATCATTTCTCCATCCACCACCACCCGTTCTAGCCATCAACACTCTTTGTTGCCCGTCTCCGCCTTCATCTGCTTTGATTCTTTCTTCATACGCTTTCAGACGCCCTACGACGTCATCGAAGGATACTGTCTTCAAGTCAAGCACTTGCTCGAGGGAGGCAACGATTTGAATGAACCGATGAGGTACCACCGTCAAGAGTTTCTTCACGAGTTTCGTTTCTCCGATGGGTTCTCCCAGTGACGCTGACTTCGAGGCGATTCCAGCGAGCTTTCCAGCGAAAGCGTCTATCGTCTCTGTCTCCTGCATCTTCAGTCGGTCTAGATCGACGGTGAGAGTTTGAAGTCGGGCCTCTTTTACTCTGTCGGCTCCAACATGTCGAGCCCTAATCGACTCCCAGAGGACCTTCGCTTCATCGACGTCCCCTATCTGCATTATCAAGCTCTCAGGGATTGCTTGATACAGCAATCCCATGGCAAGGTAATTCTTTTCATCATTCTTCTCTTCTCCTGGATCGATTATGGTCCAGGCTTTATGAATTCGAAGTACAACTTTCATACGCAGGGACCATACGATGTAATTTGTGGAATTCAACATCGGGCAAGCCACTGTGGTTGATCCTGTCTCTTTGAGTTTCACCGGAGCCGTACCAGCATCACCACCTTCTGTGTCTGACATCTCTTTTACTGGTGTCCTTCTTGATCACCAGGTATGAGTTCAAGCCCCTGTTCTTGTGAGCTCTGATACCAATTCTAGTATAACACTTGTATAGTATAGTAATTGTATAAACACAGACCAATATATCAAAATAACTCTTTGATTTTATAATTGGAAATATCACTCAAAAACCAATTGGTTTACACTGTGTTTGTGTTGTACTGCATATTCATAGCTCGATATATGCTGTATATATATATAAGCTTATAATATTAAACTACAAAAAGAAACCCAACATCTTGATGGTATTCCTTTTGCTTTTCCTGGAATTATGGTGAGTGGGAGATAATGGAGGGAATTGAGATTCCAACAGTAGGTACCTACCAGAAGCACGAAGATCACATGGTATCAGCAAAACTCTACTTATTGCATTTAAATTCTAGAATTCAACAACTGCATTGGGAATTCAAACAAAAAAATCAACATGGGTATTGAATACAGGAGAAAGTAGAAAGAGAACAAATTAAACGAACCCTTTTTTGACAATATTCGCATCCGACAATTGAGAAGTACGAATGAAGTTGGAGACGAAGTAACGTAGGATTCTGATTCTATTGTTGTACCGAAAACCAAATCCTCCACCATGGTTGATTGATTGATAGATCGAGTCTCTATTGATCTATTGTTGATTAGAGAGACAGTGAAATAAAAACAAAAAAGAAAAAGGGAAGTGGTAAAGAGTGAACGCTTACCTGAAAAACAAATTGAAGAACAACGATCGACTCACCTTCATTCTCTTTCTCTTTCTATTTAGATTCCAATTTCGAATTTGATGTAAATATCGTTGGTGAAGTCGTCCTTTTGAATACCGTTGGTTGCTGTAGGGATTGCTTCCGCATCATGAGTTCCCTGTCGACTTCGGATTCGGTTTGGTAAAAGGTGATTACGGGTGAGATTGAATTGAGATTGCGTTTTGTAGGTTATAGGCTGTGGATGCTGTGAAGGAGTAAAAGTATTGGAAGTTTTAGACGGTGGAATACTTTTATAATAAGATGGACATAATTATAAAAGTTGTCAAATTCATTTATTTTGTGTGAACCGATTAACATAAAAGTTATCGATTTTTCTTAAACTTATTTTCACTTGAAAACACAAATATAATTAACAATATTTCTTCGTTTCCCTAAAGCGGTATCAGGTGTTGCCCTCCTTCCTTGAGATTGAGGGTTCAAGTCTCGTTTGAGACATAGGTGGATTTAAAAATAGTTTAGGAATATATAGTATTTGCCGTTCAAAAAAAAAAACAATAAGAATATTACTCTGATAACCAAATTTTTAATCGACTATAAAATTACAAAATATCATTCCTAAAAAAACGTTATTTTAATAAATCATGCTAAAAAAGAAAAGATCCTGTGTGTCCATGAATAAATATCCAAGTCCAAGACACAAGAGTCGTAGTCATCACATAGTGTTTGGTGTGTAATGGAATTGAATGAGGGAATGGAATAGTTGAATTGGTTGCATTGGATGAAGGGAATGGAATAGATTAAAGATGTATTTTTTTTATTCCATTCAAAGTGGAATGAAGAACATTTGCAATATAAGCTATTCTTTCTTATTTTCAAGTATATGTTAGGCTTTTTAGCAAAACTGTAATAAATGATTGTATTCTTTAAAAGATTAGGGTGAGAAAGGTTTATCCTAACTGTGTAGAAGGAGTAAACATCCAAACATTCATATCAGCAAAATGAACAATGCTATTGTTGAAAGCACTAACCTCACTCGAGTGTTCATCCATGTTGTTGCTCTTCCCCATTTTTAACCTACATGAAAATAAATTCATTATAATTATTATCAACTAAAAGACCATAATTAAAGAAACAAATAAGAGTATGGAAGAAAGGGATATTAACAACTGCATATGTTTCCTAGGCAGCTGGTTTTGATCCACCCCCAACAATTTCATGTGCAATAATTTCAATAAGTGGCTGGTTTTGAACAAATAAAGAACAATTTACCCTTTTATTCATACCAACCTCTGTAACAATAAAATCTATTATCACATCTTTAATGACAAACAAAGCGATTGACTATCACATTTTTAGTGACCAACAAAGCGATTGAGATTGACTATCGCATTTAATCACAACCAATACAGTTTCCCTCACCTCAGCCGGTTCTGATGATGAATCAATCATAGTAGGATTATCTATGCAATTGCTTGACCTTGTTCAACTTATAAAGAGTACAAAACACAAACTTACGCCAAATCAACCTCATACCATTATTTAGTAAAATACTGACCAATCTTACTAGAATAGATGAAGAAGTTATAGAAAGTGGGAAAAGGCTGTTAGGACATACCATTTCATCATCTTAGCAACGATTTGTATATTCTTCTCAATAAGCTGCAATAAAATTCCTAGCCACAGAAAGAAAAAAAAACATAATTTATTCAATTTGATATAAAGAGACCACATACCACTTGATTTTGGGAGCTTAGGATAAAAAAAAATGATAGCTAAACCACCGTTGATAAATTAATAGTAATAATAATTAATGCTTAAATGCAAGAAATAAAAGTGATCATTAACGCACATTTTTCATTATCATTGTTTAAAATTGATAAGCAGTTGTTCAAGTTACACAGATCATTTCTTACCTTATTTTAGTGCCATTTTTCTTCCAAAACTTAATTACTTCTTCCAAATCTGCCCCTGAAGTAATGTCACATATACATCTCCATGGACCTATTTGTAAAAACTATTATTGATCCTACATTTTACATATTTCAAGAAAATTCACCAAAAACAAATTAAACCAAAAATTTACATGTAAATACTAATGTTAATAGTTCATAACAGCTATGTTTTTGCCCACATACCTTCTCCAAATACGTTTTTGCGCATTGATCCAAATGCTACCTATTAATTAAAATAATAGAATCATGAAAGTATTTTATATTAATATGTATTATGTACATGCCTTATATGAATGTTTGAAGAGCAAATACTGTCATTTGAAGGTGCCATCTGGAAATAAGCTGTAAATGCTACAGCCAACAATCCAAATCTGATTATTTTGCTTTTAAGTGCAATTGCAATGGCAGTGTTATCACATGGTCAATCATTTATTTTAGTTGCAACCTACAAAAAAAAAAGAATATTCTTACCGAATACATCATGTAATTAATGTCAGATTAGCAAAACCACCACTTGGAATATGAACAATAAGCATCATTCGCCAGCCGACGCTTCAATCTTTTATTCGTTTAACAATATTTGTATAGATTCAACTTCAATGCATCTACATAGAAATATGCTAATTTAGCTTATATAATAGTTTATTAAAAATAAATTACACAATTAAATAACGTAAAGTCATGTAATGTAACGTTTCCACTGATAAATTATTAAAAAAAACTATTATTTAATCAAAACACCTGCAGTTATATATGATTATCTAATATTCAAATACCATAAAATTTTGAAAAGTCAAGCCAAATTCCTTTTCATAATGGCCAAACAGTTTTATATACCTTGACTGAAACTTGTTATGCAATCTCTCCATCTACAACTTACTATTTTATGTAAATTTTATTGTGTCAGCAAGTGGCTTAAAATAGAGGTGAAGTGGATGGGTTTCTAACCGGTTTAAAACACCACCAGACATGTCTTGGTTCTCAAATTTGCACTGCACATAATCAATTCGGCTAAACTTGGTGAATCCCCTGAAATCAACACAACAAAGATTAGGAAAACATTTAATAAAATATAACTTTTCATTGAAGAAAGAGTAGAAAGGAAAATTGGGATTTGGGAAAAAACAGCTTTAAATTTATACCATTTCCTGTTGAGAATGATCTTTTCACCACTAGGTGTTTGGTGGTCAAACCAACAAATAATGGGATAAAACAATAACAATAAAATGCAAATCACTGCTACTACTTACACTAAAGATAGTATAGAGTAAGCAAGGTCGGTCCACAGGAATATGAGACTTATTATTTAGCCATATTTTCATACATCATACAATAAATGTTAAAGTGAGGGGTTATATTTTAGGAAAATCTCCAGAAAAGTCCTAAAATTTTAGTCCAATTTATGAAAAAGTCTCAAACTAAATTTTATTTACAGAAAAGCACAGAATACCGGTTAAAACTTCAAGAAAACCCTTTTCGGCCGGTTTCGCAGATTTTGCCGGTATTCTGTCATTTTTCGTTAGTTTGCTCAAAATTTTGGGACTTTTCCAAAAATTACATAATAACCAAAATATTGGGACTTTTTTGAAAATTACCATGAAATTAATGGATATTATTATTAACAAATCATTTATAAACATAAAAAATATTTTTATTATAAAAAAAAGGAAATACATTTGTTGCTAATTTTCTAGGAATAAATTGGTGGTCTAAGTACTATATTACTTCCTGACCACTCAAACTCTCTACGTTCTTCATATGCATTGTTGTGTGTATGATGGTGAGATGAACTCAGTTAGCATTCCTCTAATGTTGGTGTTCCTCTTATGTTGTTTAACCTAACTACAAACAAATATTTATACCTTACATGTTAACAACCATCAGCTAACACACATCTATAAAATATAAAAAATGAACCGTGAATGATAATTTATATGGAAACAATTGAAGGCTTATTATCTATTTAAATTGTCATTCAAAGTTTACTTTTCACTCTCGATAGATGTGTGTAATTTTATGGTTGTTACCGGGTAATGTTTGGAGGTTAAGTGGTAGTTAGGTTAAAGAACATAATGAAAGATCTATATGTTCGTGTAATGATATTTTCTAATAACACGTGGTCATATAGCATCATGCCTAATAGCAAGTAGACACTTATTGATTGTGTATTAATAAATATTATCAACTCTTGTATTGGTCACGCCTAACAGAGTACTTCTCACTATGACAACCACAACGATACATAGGAAGAACATAAAGACTTTGAAGTGGTCAACAAACAATAGAGAAGTACATAGTCGACCATTCATTTGTTAATAATAAAAAAAATGTATTTCCTTTGTTTATAATAAAAAAAAATTATGTTTATAAATGATTTGTTAATAATAATATCAATTAATTCCATAGTAATTTTCAAAAAAGTCCCAATATTTTGGTTATCGGGTAATTTTCAGAAAAGTCCTAATATTTTGAGCAAACTAACGAAAAAGGACAGAATACCGCCTAAATCTATGAAACCAACCAAAAAGGATTTTTTTCGAAGTTTTAGCCGGTATGCTGTGCTTTTTTGTAAACAAAAATTAGTACGGGACTTTTTCATAAATTAGACTAAAATTTTAGGAGTTTTTTGGAGATTTCCCTATATTTTAATTCAAATTAAACTTGTAAAACAAAAAAGATTACTAATAAAATTCAATAAAAGAAATACATTTCCGATTCTGATTCCTATATGTGTTGTAAGGTGTAATATGATTGTGATTCATGTTCAATCTAGGTTGGTAATTTAGATATTTATAAACTCTGATATCTAAGTTGACAAAAGTGTTTCATTCAAAGCATGTTCTTAAAATAAAACTTCATTTAATTGATTCAATTCAAATAAGCTCTTGCATCAAATCATTAAATGACATTAAGTTCTTGCAACAATTACCAACAATGTCCAACATTCCTCATAAGTTTGGGAATATGAACATCTAATCTTTGATTACACTAATTTTGATCTAATTACAACCAATCAAGTGCATGTTACTAACATCAATTCATAAAATATATACGAATTTCACAATTTGATTAACTAGATTGATAAGAACCCTATTTCATTGATCAAGTGAAAAGAGAACTAAACAAACACATAATTAAGATCAAATCAAAGATTACTAGATGATAAACATAAAGTCAAGTGCAAATTACAATCTAACAACAAACACTTAAGAATCTGGACTCGTAAATGATAGAAAAATCAGCCACACATGTTTAAATCAAATTACTAATTCAACAAGTTTTGATCTTCAAATTAACTTAAAAATGCAAATTAAAGT